AGAGAAAATAGTTTAAAGCCAAATGGATTGAACACAGAGTAATGACATAATGAATTGACATAAGGTTTTTGAACAGGAAGATCCTGTGTAACAAATCTACTTACTTTTTATGAGAGCCACAGAGATACTACAGGAAAGAGGTGATTGGGTATACTGTGTCTTATCTGTACTTAAAAAACAGGTTTTGATAGAATCTCACACAAGAGGCTGTTCTGGAAACTGAAACATGGAGGGGTGACAGGGAGAGTGCTGACATGGATGAATTTTTTTTTTTAAGTGACAGATGAGAGCAGTAATCAGAGACTATGTATCTGCCTGGAGGAGTGTTACTAGTGGAGTAACACCGGGTTCAGTTCTCACACCAGTAATGTTCATCGTCTACATAAACGATCTACCAGATGGAATGCAGAATTATGTTAACTTGTTTATGGATGATGCCAAGATACTGGTGAAGATAGGAGATACAGACGATTGTAATGCTCTTCAAATTGATCTAGATAAAGTAAGTGCTTGGAGCATCAAGTGGCAAATGGAATTCTATGTGAATAAATACCATATTATGCAATGTGGAATCAGAGAAAATAGACCACACACAACTTACAAATTATGTGGAAAGAAATTACAGAACTCTAATAAAGAACGAGACCTAGGGGTGGTTTTGGATAGTAAGCTGTCGCCAGAAGAACACAAAGAACATTGTGAGAGGAGCGCATGCATTGCTTGCTTCTAATTACATGTACAGTATATAGATGGTGAAATACTGAAGAAACTGTTCATTAGTTTTGTGAGGCCAAACTTGAATATGTAGCAGTTGTATGGTGCACAAGTGTCATCTTATCGGAACAGCAAACTGACCCATTATTTACATGAAGAGATAAAGAGAACTCCAGCAATGAAGATGTTTTATTTTATCAAACCTGCAAAAACATCTACCAGAATAACTCTAGATGTATTAGTTCTCAAAAAGATTGGAAAAATAACAAGTTAACACCCCCTTCCCCCCCCCCCCCCCCACACTGCAGCGGTCCAGCGAAGATCAGGTGTGATGTCATCGACGATCTTCTCGGGTCATTTACGTCCACGGTAAGTGTAATTAAATTTTTGTATTATTTTTCCCGTGCTCAGGGAACACAGATTATTTTTTTTTTTTTTTTTGCGCGTGTGGGTGTTAATTCCATTTGGACCCCTAGCGGTTTGAGGGTTAATTCAGTTTTTATTTATCTTTATTTTTCATTTTACTTTCATTTATTTTTATTTTATTGATTTTTTTTGTCATTTAATTTATTATAAATAGAATAAAGTTTTAATCTGTTAATATTTGCCCGCAGTCACCCACAGGGATCACATGAATGACTTAGTCCAATCAAGACTCCTGAGGTCGAACATTCATTACTAAAGAGGAGTATGATGAAATAAACGCTACTAAATGAAATTACTTAGTACACAAGCTGAAAATTTAGCATGGAAATCAGATTCTCTCAGAAAGAGGAAGGTTAGTTTTTAATTGTAATTTTATTGTAACACATTTATTTATTTATATACAAGAAGTTACATTGGGTTTGAGAGTACATAACATGTGTTCACATTCTTGTAAAGCCACTAGTATGCATGCATCGTTTTGGGCAGGTCCTTAACCCTCAAGCTGCTCTTTACTATTTGACCTTTGTCACTCACAGATGCATAAAAAAAAAAAAATCTTATTAACCTGTTAACCTGTTAATGTGTGTTCCCGGACCACGAGAAAAAAAAATTTAATTGTACTTACCAATGGTGTAAGTGAGCCGATAATGAGCTCCCAAGGCTGCATCATGGTATACAAATTACTACATTATCTGTGCTACTGTATAATTTATTGTACTGAATCTTTGTTTATATGATCTAGATATAGATAAATATTTATCAACAAAACAAAAACTGTACTAAATTAACAAAGCTTTACTTGTCCATTTTACTGTTTATATATTTCAACTTTGAGTTAATATACGGAGCCAAAGTGTACCAACAGTTTATAATAACAATGATAAACAGTGGAATATGGTTGTCTTACCCGGGAACTTTGGTGCGGTCAACATTGAGGCCGCCTTGGATTGTGTGTTTGTCGAAGGTGTGACCCAAGTTGATGCTAGCGCTGTCTCGCCGAGCCCTGCAACACATGCAACACTTCATATGTCACAGTCCCCAGACCCCTGCAACTAACTACATGTCATAGTCCCTAGACCTTTACAATACAGAGAACACTCTACATATTATAGTCCCCTGAGCCTTGCAACACATACAACACTACACATGTTAGTCCTATTACACCTCTCTGCCTTTCTTATAACATTTACACAACTCTTCCTCCAATGAATTTATTAGCAATTCGTTACACAAGTATAATATATTAAGCTGTGAGGAGAGTCCACTTACCCACCACCCAGGTGTTCAGTGTTGGCGGATCCGGATACTGTGGTCTGTCGCTTTCTTCGTTCATGATTCAAACCATCTTCACCAGAGTTTAGGGACGGTTTTCGTCCCTCGTCTAGCACCAAATATGGATCAAAATCCTCGTCCGACGTGTAAATTGGCGCCAGATTGGTATCTTGTGTTGGTGAGCTGCAGTGACGAGCCTTGGAGGGGGCTGCCTGTCACCACTGCTAGGAGCAGGGCGCTCACTGTGAGTGTTGTCTGTATGTTACTCTTGTTGAAGACAGTAGTGACGGACTCTCGGCTCCAGGAGGTTATATAGATCAGGATAACCAATGGGAATCTCCCGCACCCACCGACAGCATAAATAACCATTTCAGAATTACGGGAACTTGCCGTTGATCTCTCACAATGCTTCATCGGGCACTCCGGAACCAGTTTTCCGAGAGCTCTGAGTTCATGCCGCTAGTATGAATGTCTAGTATGCTAGTATGTCTCCAAAGAATTCTCAAAGAATTACTCATTATTGCTGTCTAAGATAATTAGACGAGCCAAAACTAAATACTACGAAGATAAATTTACCCAAATAAAGAGCAACATTAAACAAACTTGGAGAACAATTTCTCAAATATTGGGATCAAAGAAGTCTTTAAATAACAAACCGACTCTCCTGTCTAATAACGATGGTCAGCTTTCAGCCTCTGATTCTGCTACTGAGTTCAATAGGTTCTTCTCTTCCATTGGTTCATCCCTTGCAAATGATATTCCATCTTCCAGTACAGACATTAATGACTATCTTTCAGGTAACAATCCACAGTCTCTGTACCTAAAGCCTATTAATTCCACTGACGTCAATGAGATAATCCTTTCCCTTAAAACCAAGTCTGGTGCCCTTGAGGAGATACCAACTTTAATTTACAAAAAAGCCTCCAGATCTTTAGCCCCTGCTATTGCTTTGCTCTTCAACAAGTCACTTGAACTCCAAACCTTCCCAGATATTCTAAAAAAAGCGAGAGTAACGCCTGTCCACAAATGTGGTAATCTCACAGATGTTAACAACTACAGACCTATATCTATCCTGCCAAACTTGTCAAAAATTTTTGAAAAACTAATCTATAAGCAGCTTTACTCATATCTAGCCAAACTCAATATACTTAGCCCTTGCCAATATGGCTTCAGACCCAAAAAAGCACTAACGATGCACTTATTAGTATGCTTAACTCGATTCATACAGCTCTTGATAAAAATGAGTTCTCTGTTGGGTTGTTTGTGGACCTGCGTAAAGCTTTTGACACTGTCAACCACCAAAACCTTCTTCTTAAATTACATCATTATGGAGTCAGAGGACACTCCCTACAATACCTCAAATCCTACCTTACTGACAGGCTCCAATATGTTTCTGTGAATAATACAATTTCTTCCACCCTACCCATCAACATTAGTGTTCCCCAGGGCAGCATACTTGGCCCCTCCTCTTTCTCATCTACATTAATGACCTTCCAAATGCCTCCCAACACCTCAAACCAATTCTATTTGCTGATGACACAACCTTCATTTACTCCAGTCCTGATCCCCTTGCTCTAAATGCCACAGTAAATACTGAGCTAAATAAAGTCCATCTGTGGCTAACTGCCAACAAACTCACCCTTAACATTGACAAAACCTTTTATATTCTGTTTGGCAATAAATCCTCTAATCAAATAAATCTCAAAATAAACAATACCCAAATTTGTAACAAATTAGATGGCAAATTCCTTGGCATTCTCATTGACCACAAGCTTAATTTCCAGGGACACATTCTAAACATATCAAAAAGTTTCAAAAACTGTGGGCATTCTTTCTAAGATCAGATATTATGTACCACGCCCTGCCCTGGTGACTCTCTATTACTCCCTTATCTATCCATATCTCAACTATGGTATTTGTGCTTGGGGCTCTACTACCCAAAATCACTTACGTCCTCTAATTACTCAACACAAAGCTGCTATTAGGACAATATCCAATTCTGGCCCCAGACATCACTCGGTACCCCTACTTAAATCTCTGAATATGTTAGACATTAAGTCACTGCACATTCTCTCATGTGTATTATACATATATAAAACGCTAAACTATGCCAATCCTGATCTCAAAAGCTTCATAGAAGGTTGTATCAGAACCCATGAGCACCACACCAGAAATACAGTTTTGATATTCCTAGAGTACGACTTAATCAAACTAGAAATGCTCTACAAATCAAGGGGCCCAGAATGTGGAATGACCTTCCCAACCATGTTAAAGACTGTACCTCTCTCAACCAGTTTAAGATAAAAGCGAAGCTATACCTAATAAATTCCCTGTAACCTACCTTACCCTTCTATTGTTAACCAATGTCTGTTTTTTCTTTAAAGAGCGCTGTTTGTCGACATAATTGTATTTGTGCTGCTTTTTCATCTATGTTTTCATTTCTTGTTTTCATTCTACTCATTATGCTCAATTAGTATTAAGCTTGTCATTTAAGTTTATCATGCCCGAAACGCTTTGCGTAATAGTGGCTTTAGGCATTGTATGTACTAGCTATACCTATAAGTTAAACAATCCTTGTAAATATTTATTGTATGTATGTACCTTACCTAAATAAATTGTATTGTATTGTAGTAAAATATATTTACACAATAATTGGATCCCTTGCTTATGCGTCAGCATTTTTTCTTTTTCTTTTTTGTAGATAAGAATATATTTGATGTTTTTCGTTTTATTTTGAACATTTTCATGGCTCGTTGAGATTCCTGCTCTAGACTGATGATATTCTGAAGGCGGGAGAAGGGCGGAGTGCTGGAGAATGATGACGGTGAAGGTGAGTGCTGGAGGATGATGACGGTGAAGGTGAAGGCGAGTGCTGGAGGATGACGGTGAAGGGGAGTGCTGGAGGATGACGGGGCAAGGTGAGTGTACCGACCTCTTTGTATTGATTCTGGAAGCATTTTTTGCGTGTTGCCGAGTGAGGGTTCTCGGCGCACGCTTTCCTGGTGTGTGTGTGACGTGTGTGAGGTCCTTTGTTATTGTGCACCCCATACTCCTCCTCTCCTTCCCTCTCTCCCACCCTCTCCATCTTTCTCCCCTCTCCATATTTCATACTTCTCGTCCCTTTCCACCCCTCTCTCTCTCTCTCTCTCTCTCTCTCTCTCTCTCTCTCTCTCTCTCTCTCTCTCTCTCTCTCTCTCTCTCTCTCTCTCTCTCTATTTCCCCTATTCAAATATCCTCCATTCTCCTTCTTGCTCTTCAAACATACCCCTCTCTTCTCTTATCTTTCCTTCTCTCTCTCTCTCTCTCTCTCTCTCTCTCTCTCTCTCTCTCTCTCTCTCTCTCTCTCTCTCTACCTGCCTCTATCTGTCGGTCTCTGTGTTTGTCTCTGTGTGTTGTAAGTCCGTCTCTGCTTTTCAATTTGTCTTCTTCTGGCTCTCTCGTTGCCCCTGGACGACCCGGTCTCTCTGCACTTGTCGCTGTTTGATCTTTTGTAATCCTAATTAGTTTGTCGCCCAGTTCTCAGGAACTTCAGTCCACCTTTGCCCCACGAACCAAGGGTTGCCAAGCCAATTAGAACAAAACTAGCAATGTGCCAGACCTCTGTATCTAGTAGCTTGCTGGGTTACTCTGAAAGCAGCTTCGCCAGCTCCATCGATTGCTCTGTATTGAAGGTATAGGTACTGACCAGTGTGGAGGCACGTGTGTAGTCCCACATCACTAGCTTACCATCCTTCCAGGGGAAGCATGGCGACCCCGTCCGAACACTTCTGAGTGCCGCTGGAGCTGAATAGGTGCAGTTATCTTTGTGCCGGGCAGCGGACTGTGGCGAGGCTCCTCTTGATGACGCCATAGAGTTCTTAAGGTCTTGCAGTCTTGCCCCCTATGATTTACAGCATATGACTGTGATGGCTGTATTGATCTGCCTAATTCTTTTCCATAGCTACACCTGTGTACGGTGAGGACAGGGACGGCAAGACGAAGGGCTACACCAATACGATGAGTGTCGTGATTAAAGAGATTTCCCAGAGTTGAGTTGAGTACGGCAGATTATAAATTCCCTGCATGGGGTGTGCATTTTCCACTAGGAGGCGGTCTTTGTTCTCGCAAATGCATTTTCGAGCATTATTTAGGTAAATTTTTCCCTTATGGGACTCTCCTAGTGAGCTTGTCTGTGATCTTTTGGCGCTGGTGGTCGGGGCGAGGGGTGGGTGGGCCAGCTAGTGTATCCCACTAACTGCTCCTTCGGTAACCTCTACATCGTGAGCTCCTTCCGGGTCCCTCATGTGCTCTGTCATTATCTTCACTACTAATTAAGACTCCTTAATTTAACATTTTACTCAAACATGTATAATGATAATATACTATGAAATGTATAAATAGATACAAGTCGATGATTGCCTTCCAAAAAATCTAAAAATATTTTTTTCTTCAGCAGAGGGAACGTTTCAATAACACTGGGAAAATAGTGACGGGAACTCCAAGCAGGACAACTTGTTGTGTCTCAGTCAAGGACACGATCAGAAAATGACAACAAATCATTTTGCTGTTGTTGGTTGAGGGCATTTTCCATAATTTGTCCAGGAGTATATAACCTGCTGGAGCCGAGAGTCCGTCACCACTGTCCTCAGCAAGTCTAACATGCAGACAACACTCAGTGAGCGCCGTGCTCCTAGCAGTGGTGACAGGTAGCCCCCTCCAGAGCTCGTCACTGCAGCTCACCAACACACCGACACAAGATACCAATCTGGCGCCAATTTACACGTCGGACGAGGAGCTTGATCAATATTTGGTGCTAGACGAGGGACGAGAACCGTCCCTAAACTCTGGTGAAGATATGGTTTGAGTCATGAACGAAGAAAGCGACAGACCACGGTATCCGGATCCGCCAACACTGATCGCCTGGGTGGTGAGTAAGTGGACTCTCCTCACAGCTTAATATATTATACTTGTGTAACGAATTGCTAATAAAATCATTGGAGGAAGAGTTGTGTAAATGTTATAAGAAAGGCAGAGAGGTGTAATAGGACTAACATGTGTAGTGTTGTATGTGTTGCAAGGCTCAGGGGACTATAATATGCAGAGTGTTCTCTGTATTGTAAAGGTCTAGGGACTATGACATGTAGCGAGTTGAAAGGGTCTGGGGACTGTGACATATGAAGTGTTGCATGTGTTGCAGGGCTCGGCGAGACAGCGCTAGCATCAACTTGGGTCACACCTTCGACAAACACACAATCCAAGGCGGCCTCAATGTTGACCGCACCAAAGTTCCCGGGTAAGACAACCATATTCCACTGTTTATCATTGTTATTGCAAACTGTTGGTACACTTTAGCTCAGTATTTTAACTCAAAGTTGAAATATATAAACAGTAAAATGTACAAATTAAGATTCGTTAATATAGCACAGTTTTTATATTTTGATAAATATTTATCTATATATAGATCATATAAACAAAGATTCAGTACAATAAATTATACAGTAGCACATATAATGTAGTAATCTGTATACCATGATGCAGCCTTGGGAGCGAGAGGAACGTGGGAGCCAATTTGGGTTAAGAGTTAAAGCCTAATAAACGGACCTCCATCACCGCCGGTGTTCAACACTCCCGGGGTGGAGGCGGCAGGTAGGCCTCTCTTCCAGCTGTTCTCATCACACTTCGCTGTTAACACCTGTTACACCCTTCAGTCTAAACACGTGCTACACCCTTCACTGTAAACTATGTGCAATTTGCCCCATTACAACAATTACAATTTGCCAGTGTCATTACTATAGATTGTCATGCATTCATATACAGTTTATAAGTGTTATAAAGTCTGCGTTTCCTCGTAAGATTATATTTTATATTTTCATCGCAGCTCGGAGTTTGTCTTGTGAGGAACCTTCATTAATTATTATTTCTCATTTATATGTTACAACAAAACTTTATTTCCATCAGGTCCAACAGTTTTGGAGTTGGTTTCAGTTACACGTTCGGCCGGAAGAGGAGATCCACAGAACTTGTAAATAACGTCTTGTGAAGAAGTGAAAGTTGAGTGTTCCTGAGATGCCAGCGTTCCTCTTCAGTGTTACTAGAGGGCCTCCAGAGACCCACGTCTAACTAGTCCTGTCAACGCCTCTCATAGGCCTACTTTGGCCTGGAAGCAATTGGTACTGTGGGTGAGAGGGAATTCCTAGTCCAGGGATTCGAATCCTACTCTGCATTAATAATTTTGGATATGTTGTATTAAGGCATTATGAACTTTAGTTTGATTATGACTTTAGTATTGATATTGTCTCTTGTTATATTTTTCTTCAATAAAATGGATAATTGAATTAGTCTTTTTTTTTCAAAAAAGAGCACTAAGTCTTTCTTCATAATTAACAAAAATAAAAAATTTGTGTTTTATTTAAAATACACAAAAATACAAATATTTTGGCTAACAAATAACTTTTGTGAAAAAATTACAGATTACTACGAGGTAAACCATCTGTAATAATGCTCAAACTTACACTTTATACTGACACTAAACTGATGCAGACCTAAATTATGCTCAGGGGTAAAGTATACTTTCTCGGTAAACTATCGTATCGGCCTTAATAACAAAAAAGGGCACATTTGTAGTTAGTTTTTTATTTACATTTTGCAATCCTTCAGATAGAATAGAGCAGCAGCCGTATAGTGTGTATAGTGTTGTGTATACCTAAGCCTGTTAATAATAAAAGTCAATCAACTCCCGACCCTTCACCATCTTTAACTTATTTATTTATTTATTTATTTATTTATTTATTTATTTTATTTATTTATTTATTTATTTATATATATATACAAGAAGGTACATTGGTATGGTGAGGATACACAATGCTCTCTAGAGTGGAGTACTGCTGCACAATGACAGCCCTTTTCAAAGCTGGAGAAATTGCTGTCCTGGAGAGCGTGCAGAGATCCTTTACTGCTAGAATCCACTCGGTAAAACATCTAAACTATTGGGACCGACTAAAGAGCCTAAATCTGTACTCCCTTGAGTGCAGGCGGGAGAGATACATAATAATTTACACGTGGAAAATATTAGAGGGGCTGGTCCCAAACCTGCACACAGAAATAACATCACATGAGACCAGAAGACATGGCAGGATGTGGAGAATACCCCCGTTGAAAAGCGGAGGTGCGACAGGTACTCTGAGAGAGAACTCTATCAACATCAGAGGCCCGAGACTGTTCAACACGCTTCCGCTGCACATAAGGGGCATAGCTGGCAATCCCCTCAGTGTTCAAGAGAGAACTGGATAAGCACCTCCAAAGGATACCTGATCAACCAGGCTGTGACTCATACATCAGGCTGCGAGCAGCCGCGTCCAACAGCCTGGTTGATCAGTCTAGCAACCAGGAGGCCTGGTCGACGACCGGGCCGCGGGGACGCTAAGCCCCGGAAGCACCTCGAGGTAACCTCAAGGCAAGGTATACATAGCATAGTAATTACAATCTTGTAAAGCCACTAACTAGTACGCGCAGCGTTTCGGCTCGGTATTTTAACTCAAAGTTGAAATATATAAACGGTAAAATGCGCAAATAAGGCTTTGTTAATTTAGTAGTTTTTTTGTTGATAAATATTTATGTATGCTATAACTTTACTACCTTCCCTACCCTACACCACTTTCTCTCCCCTACACAACCTTTTTATCCTTGACCATTTTCCCTACCTTGCACCATCTTCCCTATTATTTGATCATAATGCTATTTCCCACAAAGGGGCCGGCCTTGGGGCTCGACCATTTTGTGTATACATGATATACACACTCACTCCACACATTCTCTTGTGCTAGTTACTCTTACAAAACCTTTTTCCTAAATTCTAAAACCGGTTTTGAAACTTCTTTAGATAGACATAATAGAACTCGCAGGGGTATCACACCAGAAGTATTTCTCAATATTTCTGATATTTCTCGAGTCTGACTAAATCTAAACAAACGCGCCATACACAAAAACACGCAATATATATGGAACTCCCTCCTTAATTAATGAATTAAAAAAATTTCTAACATATAGTATACTTCATTCGATGCAACTGGTGTACAGGAGACCTTAACTGCTCGACCATCACGACCGTACAAAAGATGATGGTAGCTGTGGTGTTTGTGTGTTACTGAGGAAGTCTTGGCTGTAGGGTTGATGTAAAGTCATGACTTGGTTACTGACTTTAATACTTAATATGATTACATGACTAGTAGCTACCAAGCTTGGCGGGCGTCCTGTACGCTCTCGTTTACCTTCTGTCTCTCTCTCTGGCGTCTCAGCCGCCGCACATAGAAAACGGATGGTACCATTTTCTGTGAACATGACATCCCTCCTTTTCTTTAAAAAGAATGAATACAGGATGTCTACCATGCGTGTAGCACAAAGCAAAGTTATTGACACAAAGTAAGTTATTAACATATCAAGAGATACTGCATACATTTAACATTAATTAAGCACACAAAGAATTTAAACAACTTAATCTTTTCCACAAAGGATTTCAATGTTAAAAATACATATGCAATGTTAAACAAACATGAAAGAAACTGTAATACAAAGTTACAAAATATTGAATGAGATATCTGCATTATTCAAACAATATTAAATTTAGTTTAGCACAATAAGTAAATACTTTTCATTACATAGGAACACAATTAATCGTCAAATCGTGTAGGGCGTTTAACATGACGTTTAGGACGAGAGTCCTTAAATGCAATAACATCCCTTGATGAATTGTTTGTCGGGTTATAACTATTTTTTTCTTTTTCTTTTGCACGACTTTGCACTTCATCATTTTCTACACTAGTTGGAATTACTTTGAAATAAGCCATATTACGTGTTATACTATGATCTCTATTACTAGCTGTTACCATAGTTCCTTTTACACTAAGCACTTTATATGGTTTTGTATCATACGGCATATCTAACTTTCCCTCTTTTTTCTTTTTAACGAGAACAGTGTCTCCAACCTTTATGAACTGTTCCTTTGCACGTTGATCATGAGCAATTTTCATTTTGCCCTTGGCTAGTGCATCCTTCTGAGCGAGACGTTTATCCGTTACCTCGGCTGGCATGACGGGTAGTGCGATTCTCATAGGACGTCCAAATAAAAGTTCACCAGGTGACTTGCCCAGTGTTCCATGCGGTGTTGCACGGTAGTTCCTGAGAAAAGCATACATAGCTTGTTTCCAGGATCGTCCTTCGGCATGAGCACAGCGTACCGCTTTCATGAGAGGTTGCATGAATCTCTCAACTTCTCCATTTGCTTGAGGATGTAGTGGCATCACACGGCGGTGTTTGAATCCAATATGCTCAGCAAAGTTGACAAAGTCTTGTCCATTGAATGGCGGTCCATTGTCCGTCTTGACAACTTCAGGAATGCCAAAGTTTGAAAAGATCTTGTCGAGTTTCGGGATGACAGCCTTTGCAGATGTGGAAGTGATGATTTCTACTTCTGGATAACGTGAGTGATCATCAATGACTACCATCAAGTACTCTCCAGTTGGTAGTGGTCCGCAGAAGTCCATCGATACTTCCGTCCATGGTGCAGCAGGTAGTGGTGAAGGTTGTAGAGGTGTTGGTCTTGAAGTATCCACTGCAGCTTGGCAAGGGACACAGGCATCATGCATATCCTTTGCTTGACGATCAATGCCAGGAAACCACACCTTTTCTCGTAGCAGCTGTTTGGTCCTAACAAGACCTTGGTGTCCTTGATGTGCAAGCTTCAGAGCACGTTGCTGGAGAACAGCTGGAATAACGATACGAGTACCTCGCAGCACAGTGTCGCGTTGTTGCGTAACACTTAATTCTGTCTGGATGCGTTCAAGTGCTTTGAATGCATCTTGGTCAACTCCTGAGGGTGGGATGCGTGGAAACTTTTTCTTAGTCAATGCATCCACTGTTGCTTGCAGAGTTGGGTCCTCTAGGGTTGCAGTACGGATTTCATCAAGAGTAAGAGCCTTAGGGACTGCATCACAGGTTACAGAGTGTACATATTCCTCGGCAACTTGCTGATGCTTGGTGATGGTGAAACTGTTTGCAGGATGTCGACTGATGTAATCAGCGGGATTGCCTGCACCCGGCTTGTATTTCACCGTAAAGTTGTATGGTTGCAGACGAAGAGCCCATCTCTCAATGCGAGCTGGTGGTTTGGACTTTGGATTATTGAAGATGGTCTCCAACGGTTTGTGGTCAGTGACTATCGTGGCGAAGGGCGCACCAAGCAGATACACATTGAAGTGTTCACAGCCCCATACAAGAGCAAGAGCTTCCTTCTCTGTCTGACTGTATCGTTGCTCAACATCTGTGAGAGAACGGCTGGCGTAGGCAATTACTACTCGGGAATCTGGTTGACCAGGTTTGTGTTGGGCTAAAACAGCACCTAAACCAACAGGACTAGCATCCACTGTTAACTCAGTGTCCATTGATGGATCAAAGTATGCAGCAGTCGCATTCTCTACTAGTGCATCTTTCACAGCATCAAATGCATTTTGCTCGATCTCGCTCCAGTACCATGATGCATTTTTCTTCAGGAGCTCACGTAGAGGCTTCGTAATGGTAGCAAAATCTGGAATGAAGCGAGAACAGTAGTTTGCCATTCCCAGAAAACTATGTACTTCAGTGGACGTTGAAGGAGGTGCAGCATTCTTGATATCTGCAACTTTCTTAGGATCTGGAGACAGACCTTTGTCACTAAGTACATGTCCAAAGAATTCAATTTTATGTTGATTGAACTCACACTTTGCTCGGCTTAGCGTCAAATTTTTTTCTCGTAAGCGTTGCAATGTTGCACGAAGAGCTTTGTCGTGTTCAGCTTGGGTACGGCCATAAACAATGATGTCATCAGACATGTTGTCAGCATTAGGTATATCTTGCAATACCTGGCTGCTGATGTGCTGGAATACCTCGGCAGCACTGTTAATACCAAAACTCAGGCGCTTGTACCTATACAGACCTCGATGTGTCGTAAACGTTGTGATGAAGCGACTCTCATCATCAAGTTCAAGCTGATGATAGCCCTTGTTTAAATCTAACTTGCTGAATACAGTTGCACCATTCAAGCGGTAGATCATATCATCTACAGTGGGTGTAGGATGGCGTTCACGCATTATTGCCTTGTTGGGAACACGCATGTCCACACAAATGCGTATCTCATCTGGATTCTTCGGCTTTGGTGGAGTGACAATTGGGCTTACCCATGGTGTTGGGCCTGTTACTGGTTCAATGATATCTAGTTCCATCAGCCTATCCAGTTCGGCATCGACTTTCTTGCGAGTATGGAATGGTTGTCGGCGATGTGGTTGGGC